TCAATTTTGGGTATTTTGGCAAAATTTGGGAATATTAGCCAAATTTGGGTACCAGGGGCAGTTAGGTAATTTGGAGGTGCCTAGGGGCAAAATACCAAGTTAAGCATTTCACATAGAATTGGATAGATATCCGTTCTAAATGAACCATGGGTTAATGTATTGTGAAGATATGGTGTACCCTAGTTCCAAGTCAACACCTAGGGTCGACCCTAAAGTCAAGTAATCCTATAAGGACTCTTCTTGAATTCTCTTATAATGATCTTACCTACTAAATGCTAGAGGTTAAGATCAATATGTGGAATTTCAAGTTGAGTAAAAAGAATAGTTTTGAATTTATAATGGTGGGGTACCTCTTCTAATTTTCTAAGACTAGTCAATAGAAAAGTCCTATGGCTAGACCTAGGCTACTAAAGAAGTTTTCTAGACCTCAACCAAAAATGAGGTCAACAGTGAGCAAAATAGGATTATGGTCAGAGGTAACATGACTCAAATATTGCACCTTCACAATAGGAAAGTAACTTATAAAACCTGAATTAGCCAATAAACAATCCAATCTCTGATAAATAAAACCCCTCCTCCAAGTTTAAGGAGATTCAATATGGCCCCCAAGTCATAAAGACCTGCATTAGACACAAAGTTAGAAAATCTATTAATAAGAGCAGGCTCCACTCTACCACCCCACTCTACCACCTCTTTTTCTTCCCATTGGCTTCATGATCATATTGAAATCCCCACCAACAAATCAATTCTCGTTGACGATGCTTCCCATATTCTCAATTTTCTGCCAGAGCAAGTTTTTTTCATGTAGAGAAGAGCTAGAGCAAGCAAAAGTGTCCCGCCCCTGAAATCCATAAAAATAAATTTGAGTGAGAATGTATTGATCCTCATCTTCAATAATTAAAAAGGTGACAGTGGGCTTCCAGAAAACCCAAATTTTATTGTTAATGTTGCAGTAAGAACGATAGCCTTTGAATTTATTTAGAATGTTGTGTTTGTTAGCATGAACCAAAGGTTCCAAAATAGCAAAAATGATTAATTTGTGAACCCTACATAAGTTTTTAAGCCTATTAAGGGAGTTAGGGTCCGCCACTTCCCAAATATTTCAAACCATTATGTTAATCATGATGTCATGAGCCAACCCTTCTAGAAGATCTAGTAGAGTTGGTTGATTATTCTCCATCTGAGTGATAAGTACATTCCCGTATAATGTTACTAGCATTAAGCTTAGATAACTCAATCTTACATTTAGCCTTTTATTCGTGAGTGCTTTTGCACTTGCCATTCATTTCCCAAAGTTGATGTAGCATTATCAAGAGCAATATTTATATCATAATGTGTTACAGCTGTACGAGAATGCACCATGATACTAGGAATAGTAGAGTGTTCATTATCATTAGTGTGTCCTATCATTAGTATTAGTGTGTCCTGCAAGAGAAGAGTGTGCATTACCAATATTTTCTTCCACAGGCTCCTCATTGATCATTTCTTCATCAGGCTCCGCAGGTATAGAGTGTCTATAAGGAACATTAGCATTATGATTGTTAGAGTTTTCAGCTAACTCCTCATTGTCATTAATCTGCATATGTTTAGGTGTAGCATCATTACACAAATGTAAAATATCAGCTTCTTGATGCCCATCATTAATATTCAATCGTTGAAATAAGGCCTCAAAACAATTATTAATAGTTCTTGTAACAAAATGTTGCAAATTAGAAGTAGCATTAGTATCAAGATTTCCAACTAATTCATTCCCATTTTCAGCACCAGGTGGAGCATCATGCGAATCAAAAATTATATTGTTAACAGGATTACTAGTTTGCCTAGCATTATGGGAGTTTTTGAGTTGTGGATTCAAATGAAAGCAAGAAGTAGTTTGATGCCCAAACATAGAACAATTAGTGCAGTAAGACGAATGTTTTTCAATTTCAACAGGCTGCCAATAACCTTGATGTTGCAAGTCTATCCAATTTTTTTTACAGAAAGTCTGAGTAATATCTCGTTCAACCAATATATGTGCTTCAGATGATCTCGATAAAGTAAAAGTAGCATGATCCATTTTTAAAGGCTTCCCATACGCAGCAGTAAGCGAAAAAAGTATTTCATGGTTAAAAAGATGTAGTTTAAGCCCTGGAAATCGAATCCATGCCGAAATAATAGGCAACTCAGCTTTAGGATCGAAATTAATAGACCATTTTCGAAACTTCATCAAACTATTTTCCACCCACATGAACCTTTTAGTAAAGAGGCGAGTGTAATCCTCATCATTAGCTAATTGTATAAATATATGTCTACCATCAATGATACTAACCTTTTAATTTTAACATTTCAAACTCTCTCCTGATGAACTCAACCTTAGGAACGTCATATGTAAATTTACCAACTAGGGCAAGACGACAAGAAGTGGCGAGCACAGAAGTTTCATCCTCAGTAACATAAAGAGCAAATTTATCGTTTTTTTTCTCCCAATTATTTGATGAAAGTATAATCTCCACCAACAATAAGAGTGTCATGAAAACTTTGTGGAAAAAATTCAGAGGAATGTGCAGATGAAGCACCACCCCCATCCAAAACAGCATCAACAAACGTTCGAGAAACCGGAGGCATATTCGAAACTTGAAACCCAAACAAAATCTAGGAACACTCGGCGAAAGGAAAAAACAGAAGAAATAAACTCAAGTGATGATGGACAGTTCTCACCAGCCGACCGGAGAAGCCCCATCCTCAAAAGCCTGAAATCGCCCAAAAATCGTCGCAAAACCCTAGCAGAGCTCCCATCGCGCTATATCATATATATATATATATATATAATGAAAGAAACAGATTCTCTTTTACTGTTTGAATATTGCAGGAATATTAAAGTTCTCTATTTTTGTGTGAGTTGTAGGGGCATGTAGTAGGTATCTATCGCCTTATTTATATTTTTATTTTCATTGATATAAAATATTCCTATGTGATTTATAATATATATTTATATATATGTATATATCTCCACCCAACCAACTCATATAATAATAACAATAATAATAATAAAACTAATATTTATTATTCCTATCTCCCACAATCCCTACTGGCTCAACTCACCTCCCATCCCATCCCGTCAACCAACTAGGAAAACAATAAAAAATAAAAATGAAATAATCCCATATTACCTCCTAGTCCTATCTCCTCATTTTTTCCATCACGCCAAAGAAAAATTATCATGTTTGTCGCCCGGACGCAGAGGTCAGACCTCTGCTGTATCACGATCATCACCCAGACGTAAATGTAATAATTTCTACACACCAAAACCCATACATTATTCTCCATGCATATTTTGTTATATTTTAGTTGTATTGATTTGTCAATACAATCAATAATAATTCTTTCTCCTTTTCCGGCCCACGAACGAAGACTTCTCTCCCACGGATCGAACCTCCCTCTTCTTCTCTCTCCCTCTTCCTTCAGTCGAGACACTCCAACTGCAGGCTCAACTTCTTCTTCAACCAAATCTCTGCCTTTTCCATCCTTCTGCATCCCCTGCACAACCCCACAGCAGACGAAATTGCCGCTCAACAGAAGAAGTGTCTTCTCTTTATTTCAAATATTCTCATCCAGGTTTAACAGATCTCACAAAAGCTGTGTAAAATTATTCAAGTGCTCGTCTATAATAACCTAATTTCTCCTCTGAAATTTTTAGAGTTGATGTTTCATATTGAGACGATTCTCAATATTTTCTTGATATATTTGTTCTTCAGCCTCTTCTACTATTTTTCCGCATAAGTTTGCACCATCATTTTATATTTGATCTCATGAAATAAAAAATTTCGGAGCAAACCACAAACATTGATTCATTTTTAACAGATCTTTTTTTTCCGACGTTTCTTCATATTGTTTATCGTCATCAAGATCTTTCTTCATATTCAAAGAGCAAAACACATCCATCACTTCGCATCGTCACACATTAAAGTTTTATTTGTCATCAATTATCATCATGTCAATCTTTATAGGATGTGTAAGCAACTGATGAATCAATGTATTTTTCATTGTTTTAGTGGGCATTGAGGTATCAGACGACATGCATGTTATTATTTATGGCTGCATCGGATCTCGTAACTTAAATTGTTCTGATTTTTTTTGTCCTGCATCTGCGAACTTGCTAGAATCACAATAGTCTATTTTGATAATAATTGCAAAAAATTATGGAAAACAAAATCACTCAACGAACAAATGGTCAAACAATGTGTGATTTATGTAACTCTATGCAAACGCGTTTGCGTCCATGACTCCATGGGGGAGGGCTATTCCACTATCAACAAATCTGGAGAAAGAAAAGACGGTTGAAATAGGGTTACAACTCCACCCACTAAAATCGACTCTAATTCTGTTCATAAATTGGAAAGGATTATGACTCGCTAATAAAAATATAAAATGATTAATTTACCTCCATACACAAACAAAGCCTCTAATACAAGTTACAAAACATTCCAGCCGACGACATAATGATATCATGGTATTTTAGTTTGGAAGTTATGGTAAGATTTGTTTGTAGCTTTTAATTCATATTATGCTAACATTATTTATATACATTTTAAGTCCTCTTTTGTTTATGGTTCACTTATCTTTAAGCAACAAAATATTTTTTAATAGTGGAGAAGACAAATTTAAAAACGCAGTCGCAGATGCATTTCACACAGAAGAAATGTTTTAGATTGTTAAGGGGGTAATGCAAGTGTTATGCATGTATATATGTACGTATGCATGCATTAGCACGTCAAAAACCTAAACTTAAAGAGTTGGATATGTATAAATAAGTAAATAGAACATCATGTTTGAACATATCTAATATCTAAAAACTCTAATAAAGTACCAACATATCTAATATCCAAACTTTAATAAAATCATTCATCAATGTATCTAATACCTAAATCTTAATAAAAGATTTACCAAACTTGTGCTCGAGACGCATTATCTACATATCTTTTAAAAGCAATAAAACAATTAATGGTTAAGTATTTTTAAAAGTATATTACATTGAACAACTTAATGGTAAATAATCTCTTTGAATATATATTACTTAAATGACTTAATACTTATGTAAAAGTCCTGAATATAATGCAAATATTATTCATTTGTGATAATACTAGAAGATGATCAGGGTCAATCACTAACTCTTAATAGCCTACCTCTTCTTCCCTTCCTTTTCATTTCACTTTATTGACTGTTAAGGATATTTCAATCGAGATTGTGAGAGCTCCCAGCAACAAGAGCTCTTCTTCAAAGGAGTACAGACAATCAATTCCCTTTTATTTCTTCAGTCTTTCTATTCAATTTGTAATTTCAAGTACTTCGGTTTTAATCCCTTTTACAAGAACAATGTGGAGGTAATTAGTTTCGTTTAATTTATTTTTCATTCCATATATTTGATCATACATTGTCAATATCTTTAGCTAATTAAAGTCCTTAAGAATAATTTAATGCATCCATGGTTTTAGAGTATAGGGTATAGGGAGAAATTATTACATACGGAGCACATATGTAATAATTTAATAAATTTGAGATGGATAAAAATGCACTGCTAAGACATTAGAAAAATTATTGTGTGAGGACCTCATGCTAAATTTGTGGGCGTTGTCCGATCTGAACCATCAAAAAATTTAAAATGTGTCCCAACACAAAAAAAATAAAAAAATATATTTCAATAGTTCAAATCGGACATTGTATGCTAGTAACGAGATTTAGAAATAAAAATATGACAGCGTGTTCGGATAACTTCTATGATGGTTTTTTTAATATATATATATATATATATATGAAAACCAAAATGAATGACTATATTTACATAACCCATCATTAAATTAGTAAAAACACATTAAGTTCTCTTCATTTTATTTCAATCCAAACAAACCCAAAAGAAACATTAGTCGGATTGTAACAAATCCGAACAAACCTGTAAAAAATGCATTATTAGGGATGTAACAATGCTAGGCCAATTCATTAGCTAGCTCAAATTTTGCTTTAAAAATGACTCACATGCTAATCAAGCTTAAATCATCCTCAAATTAACTCAATTAACTCATCAGCAAACATATGTTTATAATATATTATAATTCAAAGTCTCAAGTAAACTTGAAGAAATTTATAAAATGTAATGTGAAATATTTTACATCAAATAATTTCTCATTATTAATGCTTCAATTGCATTTGCTATGCTAACACATAAATTGCTTGAATTAAAATCAAACTTTTTCACACTGATTATCCGAGCTCGCATTCAAACTCAATTAATTAAACAAACTCGAACTCAAAAATCAAAAGCTTGGCTCAACCCATCACAGTTCATAAAATCCTACCATATTTTTTCTTAAATCACAAGTTTAATTGTTCATATAATCTATTACATATTATTATAATATTTGAGCTCACTTTTAAGTCAATAAATAAATAAATAAATCATTCAACTACCTCAATGAAAGTGATGCACAACCTTTCCCATAGTCAGTCTTATCCCCACCAAACAAACATTCAAGGGTATTGACCCAAAGAAAAAAGGAAGCAAACAACTATGACCGGAGGCCAGAAACAAGAAGTAAACAGCAATCAACATATCCATCTTAATTATATCCATACCTAACTTCAAAATGAAATAAATATAGCCATCATCTTCAACTAAGATAGAATATTTTTCTCCATGGTCAGTGTCGACTCAAAAAAGGTATAATTTTTCATTTCAGAAAGGTCTGTAGCGCATTGGCCTCCTGAACCTGGGAAACTTCCTGGAAAAAAGATAGTGCTGGCTAAACAAAACCATCGGCTAATTATTAAAAGAAAAAGAAAACAAATGAAACCCAAAGGAAAGAAAATGTTGGAATAGATTCAACGATTGTATGATGATTTCTTTATCAGAACTTTAGAATAATGTATTTTCAATAAATGTGGAGCATACTAACCCATATCCATATGGAGAATAGAAATATGAAGGCACGTATGACCTCCTGACCCTATAGCCCAAGTAAGGATTGTAACGCCTCGGGCGATATTGCTTGAATCCCGGAACATTCGTCCTCTTCGGCATCACCTGCTCCAAATACCACCATTGTGAACAAAACTTATGGTCCAAAATTTTTGTCCAAGTTTTAAAATTATAAGGATTAAAGAAAGGGACTAAAAAGATGGACCTTCAGTTGGCGACCATGCAAGTCAGATTCATTTAAATTAAGAGCTTCTGGAATAGCCTCCAGTTCCACAAATTCAACGTAAGCAAAACCTTTTGGCTGACCAAATTTGTCTGTCAGGATGGTGACCCGATTAACAGTTCCACATGATTGAAAATGTTGCTGAACCTCCTCGGGCGTGCATGCATAATCAACCTGCAATGTTTTCGTTAAGATTACAGATAAGAGTCCCAATGGCAAGCAGATGAGTAGATGGCCATGACCGGTTTAATCAAAATTGCATTTTTCAACTCTACCGAAAGCTTCTACGTTACTAGAAAAACAAAATATAAATATATAAATCCTACAATCATTAGTTACAAGTAACCATTTTCTTTTTGTTCTTATTTCTAGCCAACAGAAGACAATCGACCGGTCTAAGGAAAGAGAGAAAAATATACCAACAAATTAAAAATGTGAGTGAATTGATTCATGGTGAAAAGCAACAATAGATGGGCTTTTAAAGTTTCCCATTGAAAAGAAAATTTCCCTGTTCCAAACCAGCTGGGAGAGTGAAAAATGTTCACCGTGGAGCTGTTCAACTTCACAACAATCTGTAGCTGGCAAAGTAGCATAAACAGAAGTCATTGGTTTCTTACATGTTCCTCCCAAAATCACTGTTTTCTCTTATATGTGACAAGTTAAAGTGTGCTATGTGCTAATGGCATCATAAAGTTGAACGAATGAGTAAATAGCTCCATATGATTTTATAAATCTCGTTGCAAATAACTCCGACAATACCAAAGTTTAGATAATAGTCAATCATGCAATGAAACTTATTCATTAGAAAAAGAATATTGTGGTTTGAAATAAAAAAAGAACGGAAGATTTACATACATACCACTTAATTCTTACGAATTGACATATCTAACACCTAAACTTCACTTTTGACATACCTTACCTATATATGAAAAGGTGTATTTAAGTTTTTAAGTTTTAAAATGGTGGTATTTTTCTATGTGATATGAAAGATTTGGGAGGAATAAATGTAAAAAGTGAAGTTTAGTGTTATATATGTAAATATATAGGCATGGGATAGTATGTATGTAAATGTCCCAAAAAGAATATGCAGCTAGAAAAAAAAGGGTGACAGCTCTTATTCCGAATTTTAAATTGCATTTCTTAAATATGCTTGAGATTTCTACACTTAGGAATGGAAAAGAAAAACAAGGTTAAAGCAAACAGTACGTTTGTAGTAGATTGTTGCTCAAGTCTTCAGAGTGGCCGGTGAAAAATAGAATTCCAGTCAATAAAAACATTTCTATCAGAGGATTCATAATACAAAGAATATCAACAAAAATTTCAGAGTAAATGAGATAAATAGAAGATTATTGCAAGGAAATTCAAGAAATAGATCAAGGACCTCTCACCAACTGTTGGAAAATTTTCATTGACAGAAGTAACACATTCCATCACGAATACCCAGCTTGCAGCCTTAACAGTTCTTCATGAACCATAATAAAGTTCAATCACGCCAAGAGAACAAAACCTCGGGCCTCCTACGGTACCCCTAAATTCATGGATGCAAGCAGATAAAACCACACTTCTGTGAAGCCGGAAGAATTGTCGCTGTTTTTTCTTTTTTACATTTCCTTTTTTTTTTCATTAGTTTTTTTTTTTTTTTTTTTTTTTTTTTTTTCGTCGTCGGTTTTTCTTTTCATTTCTCTCATTCTGGGGTTCACAAACCAATTAAGGATTTTTCACAACTTTTTTTTACGCCCACTATTTTCCACACTTCTATCCCATTTTTTCTCCATTTACTTTTTTTTTCCTTTTCTTTTTCTCTTTTTTTTCCCCCATTGCAAGTCTAAACATCACATACGAGCAGTTTGTTTTCCCCCATCATTAATTGGCTAAGATCTTATTTCAAGCTAAAAGCATCCAGGCATCAGAAGGACAACACATCAGAGAACTCCAACAGTGAAGATTTGCCCTGTCATTAGCAGACATGAAGGTAAAATCTTGAGCTCATTCAAAGTAAGACATGAAGAAAGGATGAAAACAGAAATCACATGAAATGATCCACAAGAAAGCCACTCCAAAACCTATTGCATGCAGGAAAATGCTCCATATCTATAGCATAAATACTTCAAAACGAGTGTTGAGTAAATAAATTGCAGGGGTTAACAATATATCACCATTTTAATTGAAAAGTGAGAACTGTATTTACATCATGGAGCCGCCAGCAAAAGTCAATAACAAACAATGGCAAAATTATTTGTACTGAGGAAGAATTTCAACCAGAATAAATTCAATTTTCTGATGTATGGATATAACCTGATTAACCAAAAATTCTCTCACTCCACCTCATCTTTTTTTATCACCCAAAAGAGCACAAATTGCGGAATGTACATCCTATCTAAGAACAAAAAATATTCAGCATGCAATAAATTTCTCTGGAGCCTTGATGGAATGAAACAATCAGAACATAAAAAGAAATCTCCGTTTCAATCATGCCTGTCAATAATATAAAATGATGGTGCTCGGAAAAAATAAATAAAACAGGAATCTGAACTTATGCTAGCCCTCTATCAGGATATCATGATAAAAAATTATTCATTATGTATTTCAAACCATTGGATTGACTTCAAAATAAGTCCAATACAAGACAATCAATCAAAGTATCTAATCCACTCATCTCAAAATAAATAGAATGGATTTGAAAACCATTCTGACCAAAAATTTGGTCAAAATATCCTGACATAACTATTTTTCCCCAACAAATATTATATCCTGTTGCCATTGGCTCCCAATTTCACTCATGAAGTCTATAATTAGTATAAGCTCCATGTATAAGTACAAGCCAAGCCTTGTTTAGATAGTTAATGAAATTACCGGAAGTCCTTCCAAATCTGGCAATTCAATAGTAAATTCAACCATCTATAGCGTCCCCACATTTCCTTATGGAAAAGAAGCGAACTAATTTTTACTCCGAAAGGGTATTATATCTAAAAATGATACCATTTGAATACAAAAAAATTTTGATGCTAAAATAACATGTTCAGCATTCAAAATGACAGACGGGTTATACTAGTGCTTGGCTTACTTCAGGTTCCAATAATTAAAAAAAAAAGCAGGGAAAATTTTTTTTTGACATGTGCAGGAAT